ATGAGTCTTTATTTAATACTATTATTAGAAAAGAATCACCTAATTACAAAAAATAATAGAAAAAAAAATCAAATCCAACTCTTAAGAACCATTGCATTCCCTAACCAAAACAAATTATTTCTCTTTTGATATTTACAATAGTCTACATTTTTTAACATTAACTATCTATATACTTTGGCTAAAATCACTTGTATACAAAATTAAATTACTATATATTTTTATATGAAGTACATATTATATATATAAATAAAAGGTAATACATCAATTAAATTATTAGGAGTCTCCAAAAAGTAATAAAACATTGCTTCCAAAAACTATTAAGCAAATAAAGGATTGCATCAATATAATATTTCTACATATAAAACAAAATATATATACATAGATGATAATCATAATATTATTTGAATATGCAACAATGACAAAAAAGGGATTGTAAAAATTTTTTTATACAAATTCAAACCTAAAAGCTTCATTGATTTCTAACTCAACATTCCATTTATAGTTGTGGTTGATCAACAAATTAATTATAGAAATGTTCAAAATTTTGAAGTTTAAATATGAAAACTTGACCATGAATTAAAAAGAGAATTAGTTATGAAAGACAAAAATAATAGATTGCGAAGAATAATCCCATGACATATTGATATAAAATAAAGCATGATTGTGAACAACTTAAAATTTATATTAAAGGTTTTTTATGAATATGGAAAGTTAATATTGTTATTTAATGTAATCTAAGATAAAATCTTAATAGTAAAAGATTATAAAAGGTCACATAAATGTAAAAAAAAAAAAAGTAATTAAATTGAAATTTAAAAGGAAAGACATGTAATTAAACATTTGAAATATTTTTTTTAATTTAAATCAAATCAAATAAAAAATTAAATGCAATGCAGATGATAATTTTTCAAAACTATCCACATGTCAATAATATAAGTAATCTACATTGGATATTTCAAAGGTTTTGGCTTTTACATCTTTATATAAAGTTTAATAATCATACGACTATGATTTACAAATAAGATTATGTATAATGTCATTATTTTATTTTATAGTAAAAAATAACATAAAAAAATAAGACTCTAATAAGAAAATCATGAAATCAATAAATAGAAGAAATATAAAAAACAGAAAAAGTAAATTATGCTTCCAAATGTGTAATTGAAAATATGAGTGAGTTAAAATAATTAATTTTAAATTAATGCCTACTTTGACTGTTTCCACTTTACTATAATAATCTTGTTTTATGTTGGAAAGTTTATGTTTGACATTTTGAAAAATTCTTATTAAAGAGTAAATATGCCTACAAATATGTGTTATTGAAAATAGAAAGAAATATAAAAAATATATTTGCAATTAATTAAATTTTTTATTTTAGGTTTGAATTTTTAGCACTATATATTTGGTTTATTTATTTATTTAGCTTCATAAATACATAAAATATTTTATAATTAAATACTAAAATTACGGTCATTAAATAGTTGATATTTTCAAAGTATATTTTTTATTTATAGAGTTCATGTTTGATGCATAAAATTAAAAGATAAAATTTTTGAAACTAATTTATGATAATTGATTTGTAACAAATATATTTATAAAATATAAGAATATTTGATTTTTTATAAGATAATAAACATACTTAATTTAGTCAAAATAAATCTTCTAAATAAATAAAATTTATATAAAATCAAATCAGGTGAATATTCAAAAATATCCATTTGTAAATAATATAAGCTATAAGCATTGGATAATTTCTTTTTTTTTTTTTTTTGTTAAAGACTTTGCCTTAAAGACTTTGCCTTCTAAATATTTATATAAGATAAGATTTATAGTTATTCTTCTCTTGCTCGTTGGTGATCAAGAGAAATTCCAAGAAAGGGAGTGGGAAAAAGAGAGAGAAACAAACTTCTCATCTGAGCTTGAAACAAAATCAAAAACTTTTTTTTTCTGGGTGTCTTTAATTTTTTCATTTTCTTTTATGTTTTTGTGAGAAAAATGTTCTTGTCTTTGATTATTTTGAGCTGAGTTTCATTGGCATTACAGCTTTTGGAGATGCACTCCAATGGCGGCAGCGGTTTTCAAAGAGTCAAAGAATATGGACTCCTTTAAACCCAAAAATGTCCAAACCGAAGTTGAGTTTGCAGAGTGTGATTGTTGCGGGTTAACTGAGGGGTGCACGCCAGCTTACATTGCTCGCGTACGTGAAAAGTTTGAAGGGCGTTGGCTTTGCGGGCTCTGTTCGGAGGCGGTTAAAGACAAGACAGTTAGGTCGGAGGAAGATACTACAACTAACGAAGCATTGGATAGGCACATGAAGTTTTGCGAGCAGTTCAAGTATTCGAGGCCTCCAGCTAATCCTGCAGAGGATTTGATCTCTGCGACGAGACATCTGTTTCGAAGAACTTTGGATTCTCCAAGGAAAAATGAATCATCATCTATCTCGTTTGTTCGATCCAAAAGTTGCTTTTCCACTCTGTCAAATGGAGAAGTTAAGATGAGGTTTAAGATGATCTATCTAGTTTGCAAAGGAAGATGAATAGTATTGGATTTTGAATAACGTAGACAGATTTCGAAGTATGGATTTTGCTTAAGCAAGGTTTAACTTAAACAAATTTCGATCGGTAGTTATGCATATACTTCTTGGCTGATGTTGAGTATTAGTACTATTTGTTCATATTCTTATCCGTAAGAAATAAACGCGTTTTTATGATGAGCAAAACTTACTTCTAATACCAATAAGTTAAATCAATTGACAAAGATAGTTTATCTCAACATAATTAGAATAGAATATAATCGATGATTTTTTATTAAGATGCTTTTTAATATATGATAACTAATTATTATTTTGATTATAAAATACGATATATTTTATTTTGATGATTTTTTATTAAGATATTTTTGAATATATGATATTTAATTATTATTTTGACTGTAAAATATGATATATTTTATTTTGATTAAAGAGATTAAATGACCTAAGGTACTTTTAATTCGTTCTTAGATAAGATCTTAGAAAAATACCGGGGGATTGGCATTGGAAATGGGGAGTTGTTCATAGAATGTGACCTTACGAGGCCTTCGCAATAGTTCTTGTGGTTGGTCATTGCGCCATTATTTTGGCATGAACATCGTGGCTAGTTTTTGAAAATAAAAGGTTGGGACCAAATGGGAAAAAAAAAAAAAAAACCTGTTGGCTCCATTGCTTATCAAGGTCAGTAGCTTGATGAATAAATTAAAAGAAAAGGGGCTAGAAATTCTTTATTTGAAATCTGAAACTTTTGTAATATAGATATACTAACTCGTATTTCGTGTGATGCAATAATTAGTTTTATATATTTAATTATGTATGAATACATTATAATAGAGAAAAAAAGTAGATGAAAGTGAAGTAATATATTTCATCTCAAAATCAATTAACAGTTCTACAATTTAATAAAAAAATAAAGCAAAATTTGAGATAAAATTATAAACATGATATTGTGTTTGATAGGATAGATATATCCATCTACATGTAAGATTGTCACAACTTGCAACATCCTTTAGTGAATATGAAAAAAAAAAAGGTTAATAGTCACATTTTTTTTAAATATGAATTTGATAATTTTACTGAAAACAGACATATGGTATTCTTCATAGTTTCTAATATATTATTGAATGATAAATTAAATCATTAAAAAAGTATTGACATATCTTCATTTATGTACTTATCAAGTATTGAACAAATAAATAAAAAAAGTTAGGAAATATGTGTAAAAAAATGAATTGAAAAAAATAATAATTAATAGAGAAAAAAATGAAAAGTAATTAATATACCTTTGAACACAAATTTACAAATAAAAAAGAAATAATGATATAGCACATACTATTTATAAGCTTAAAAAGTATAAGACAATTTTTTAGATGACAATTTGATGCATAAATAATTTTTAAATATTTGAATTTTTAATGTTGTACATATTTAAAATTTTTATTTAAATTTTAAATGTATACATATTTAAAACATAGTGAGTTGAAAGATAAATTTTATATGATTTAGATAGGATAAAGTATATATTGGCTAAAGATTTGGATAAAATCAATTTATGTAATTTTGAAACATTACAAAATTGATTAGATATATAAGATTATTTGATAAATAATGAAAATTTAAAATTTTATTTATAAGAGTCTATGTATCAAAAATAAATTATTCATGTATTACAGGATAATTCTCATTTTCTTGAACTTTCTCTGAATTTTAAAGGTTTTTTTTTTCTTTGTAATGAATTTATAAAAGATCATGTATTTAGATTAACATAAAAATTAATACCAACAAAGAATCACCATAAAATTAAAATTTGAAATTATTTAATTTTAAATATAATAATTTAAAACAAGATAAAACAATATAAAATAAAATTTTTTATAAAAAATTATAACTTAAAAATAAAAAAATTACAAATGGTAAAAGATTTGAAACTCATTCCATCTTCCCCTATCTAACGAACTTTATCGGCCAAGACCAAGAGTACACGTTAAGAAAGGTTGGCGCGGCTAATACAAGTCTTTTCTAATCATTAATTAATCCAAATCCGACTACGCATCCACATTCCGACAACCAAACCTAACTGGCCTGACATATAATTTAAAAAATTATATAAAATAATTATTTTATATTAATATATATAATTTTATTTAAAGTATATCACATAATTATATTTTTAATTTATTATAATAATTATTAATAAATTAAAAATATTTATTTTAATAAAATTCATTAATTATTATTTATAATAAATAATTAATATTTTTTAAAAAATAATTACATAACAAAATTTAAATAAAAATAATAAATTACTAGTCTTGTAAATATAGACTTTTAATCCTAGACGTAACAAAGTGTTCCACCTATTATTTTTGTTTGCCCAAAAAACCCTTCAAATTCCAAAATTGGTAAATATTACATCAAATAATGGCATTCTCCAATTATAAAGTACCTGTCTTGTTATTTCCACGTTGTACTACACAAATTAAAATATAGTACAATCTTGTTTTAACTTCCAAGTTGCAACCTTTTCCTTTTCATTCACCTTATGCTTCAACTTCAGCCTCTTTTTTATCCTGGGAAAGTAAGAAAAGATTGTACTGCATTTTTTTTTCTCTGTAATACAACGATCCGAAAAAATGATGCACATGACCTTTTACTGGAGCCGGCAGGTGACTCTCCTGTTCAGTTCCTGGCGGACAGATTCGTGGCTGAGTTACGCGTTGACTCTTCTGGCTTGTGTTTTGGCTTCGGTTTTGTACCAGTACTTGGAACAAGTAAGGTATCGTGTCAGGCGGGGCGGGAAGCCGAAGGAGGGGACTGCGGAAGAGCCGTTTTTGTGGCAGACGAAGGGTGCTGGTGCTGGAAATAGAGGGAAGGCGTCGGTGGCGAAGATCGTGGGAGGGGTGCTTTTTGGGTTGAGCTCGGCTTTGGGGTATTTGTTGATGCTGGCGGTTATGTCGTTTAATGGAGGCGTGTTTTTGGCTATTGTTTTGGGGTTAACGGTTGGGTTTATGATTTTTAGGAGCGAGGAGGATGATGAAATTGCTGGTGTTAATAGCACTTGTGCCTGTGCCTAACGGAGGAAAAGGTTGTTTATTGTTTTCTTTTCTTTTGTTTTTATTTTTTGTCTTGGATTTTGGGAGTTTGGGCTTTGTCTGATCCTGGGTTTGATGATGGTGGTGTGTTTTTAATATGTAATCATCTGACTGTAAGATAAAAAGTCTTTATAATTGTTTCAAACTGTGGTTTTTCTCTTTGTGATTGTTTGTTTTGGGGGAAAATTTTACTGGAATTCTGAATTCTGCTGATTGATGATATAATTTGACCGAGAATGAAACAGAAGCCTATTGTCAGACTCATGAATGTAATCTTAATCTCAAAAAATGTCATCTGAGATTGATTTTTTAAAGCTGTGATCAATTCTGTACCCAAAACAGCAACAATCAACTGGATTAATTTGGATATACAAATCAATTAGTATAATTAATAATGCTACGCAGAATTGCAAAGTGCAAAGCAGACTGATTATGGTTCACCTACTCCCTTTTGGAGTGGCTGCCTCGAGGCCCAAGGGTTTACCCCTTAAAATTGCCAGCATAAAAATAGAGATTATGTCAAGGTCTGCAGGCAGAGGACTTGGCTCTAACAGTAACAGAGAATGGGTTTTGGTTTGTGGAGGAGAATTCAATTGTAAAGTGGAACAAGGATCTTGGTTTTTTGACAGTTTCAAGTTGTCCTGATCCCAGACGGAGACACTCGGATGATGCAATGATGTGAACTGTGTAGATTGTCAATAAAATTACTAGTATTTCATAGCCAGCTTTCTTAAAAATGGCCATTCTTATCTCGGAATTATGAGGCAAAAAACCTCCAATTAAGACGGTGAAAGTAAAATTAAATAATTAATTAATTATTTAAAGATAGTAATTTATTATGATTTGATCTAATCGATTTATGTTTATAGATAAAAAATAAAATTTACTAGTTATAGGGAATTAGAAATATACAAATTATATCAATCTTATTCAATAATCGATACTTATAAGATATTTTTAATTTCTTCTAGTTCTATGAAGTATTCTTAACTTAAACAAATATATAATCATATGCACCAATGCACTATGCCTATGTGGATCCTCTCAGTCTTTTCTAGTTTACTTGAATATACACACACATAAAACGTTAATCTTCTCTAGTCCTATGAGTGTCTATCTTATAAAACTTTACAACTCTGTTATATATTTTTCTCATACCTAACTCTATAGAGACTCCATCTGTTTGTGGGTATACAAACTTGTTTATTAAGAATTTCTTTGCTCTTAAAATTTTTCTTCTACAAGTTAAATTTACCAATTGAGAATGGATCAAACCATGTAAAATTATTATCTTTTGTGTAATTGATTGATTATTTGATTTTCTTTCGCTGACTTGGATGGCATGAGTATATGTTTGTTTTGATTAAGAATATTTCATAAGATTAAGAGAGATTGAGCAGGTCTTATGAGTATTGATTGTTGAGTGAAATTGATATGATTTGTATATTTATAATTTTTTATAATTAATGAATCTTTTTTTTATTTGTGAACGTAAATTGATTGGATCGAATCACGTTAAATTACTATATCTTATATAATTGATTGATTGTTTAATTTCACTTTTGATGTGATTGGTTAGTGTGATTGGATTAGGACTTTTTGCCCAATGAAGAGTGCCGCATCATAATCGAAACTATCTTGATATCCTTACATTTCTAAATTACTACAAAATCTTCTCAATAGGCTGTCTTGGACCCTTTCCAGGTTCACAAATTGCACTTCTTCGTCTTGGTTGGTTGACAAACTAGATAAAGGAGGACCGGAATTTGGGATTTTACAATTCTCAATGCTGCTTTTCTGATGCTTTTTGTATGAACCAATTTTCCTGCATTTTACAAGCTAAAGGGATAAAGGTGCATGTATTTTCCAACAAAATTCCAGTTCCCTGCAAACATTCCTAACTCTATTCTGCTAAATATAATCAAGATTACTAGGTTTCTGCTTGGCTGTGAGGTTTGATATATTTACTTGAAAGCTAAAAGTACAAAGATCGAATCCAATATCAAACTAAAAAATTAACTTAATTGGTTCATATAACTATCTTAAAATGTGACATTTAATAAATTTAAAATTCAAATTTCAATATCTGTAAGTCATTTCACTGTCCTCATTCTGTGGTCTTCTTCGTAAAAAAAAAAAAATACAAAATTCATATCTGTTTCTATAATGTTAGACATCAAACATCATGTTATCCAAGAGTTTATCCCTTCAGTTCATACCTCCCATCCGAAGCCATTTGCAAAGCACTCATTTTACTGTCAATCAATACTCTAATTATCGTTGATAATGGTATAGTCTGCAAAGATTACAACAAACTAACTTACCAGCTAGAAAACAAATTATTACTTCCCATAAGTAAGATGAAAATTTCCAACTTCCATAAGTAACTTTGGTAACCAATATAAAATGAGGCTATGAAGAACGTGAAGTATATGATTCGTTTAGAGGGCCGGCCGGTGAGTTGTGGAAAATGTCAATATTCTTTTCTTGCATCGATGTAATCAAGCCACTGCAATTTTCTTTACTGTGATACTGTTAAAATGAATATTAAAATCCAGGGTAGGTTTTTGTCTATTCTCAAGCTATGAACAATTAAAATGAAGTTTACGTGTTAAGTGTATATTCCATTTTTTTCAAGACAAAACAGGATGGACTGCAAATTCTGGCAATAATATCTATATTTCATTCAAAATACTGAATAATATATTGCTTGAATGGGAACGAGCACTTCAGTGCTTCGAGTATCCTTCAAATACTTATTTTCAACTTTTCAACAAACATTTTTGAATTATGGTAGTAACCATGCTTATGCTGTAATGATCTGGTTTTTTTAATATTCCCAGCTGTTTCCACTCAACATTTCTACTTCTGTTTTTCTTCCTGCTGTTCTTTGAAGTTTGAACTGCCTCGATAATGTTTACAGCTTAAATAGATAAATTCAACCATGTAGTGTGTAGTGTCCTCTTCCTCCATCTGAAATTCTCATATACTCATTCTACATAGAGATTCGGAATTAGCTACCAAAGAAAGAGGCAGTCTGATTCGATTTATCCAACCACGACGAAATGGATTGTTGCCAATTTCTATACTGCAATCCTTCTCTTCTTCACTTCTTTTAATTTCATTGTCTGCAACAAATTCCATGCTGTCATCAGTTTCCTTTGGCACCACATAAACAAATGGTCCAACAAATTCATCCTCGAAACCTTGTTCAGACTCCAGGATCCTGACCACATCTCCCATTGTAGGCCTTGGCTTTGGGTGGTGGCTTAAGCATTTGTAAGCCAATGCAATTACCTTTTTAGCGCCCTTGTTGGAAAATTGACCCTCAAGTCTGGTGTCTATTAGCCGGTCAAGCTTTGTAGGGTCCCTTATTAGTGGCCTTGCCCATTCCACGAGGCTCTGCTCTCGACTGGGGCGGGTGCTGTCCATCGATCGTTTTCCTGTTACTAGCTCTAACAGAACTACTCCAAAGCTGTACACATCACTCATTGTTGTCAAGTGACCTGAAATTAACATATAAAAATTGGGTTAGGTCGGTCACATGCTTTGACTTAGAAACTAATGAAAGCGTGCCGCAAGACTCGTTGCTTTTCCTGAGGGTGAATTACAATTTTTTTTGGGTACATAAAAGGTGGTAGTTTAAGGTAAGGAAAAGGGTTATAGGTGTTCGGGTTTAAACTCTAAATTTATTGAATGTTATTTTAAGAAGTGGCTATATAATCCGACTGACTTATGCTCTGGGTTTTGAAGGTGAATTATATTAACATTAATTCAGCTTACCAGTCATGATATACTCCGGAGCAGCATATCCTTGTGTGCCCATTACTCGGGTTGTTACATGCGTCTCTTCTCCTTCTGGACCATCCTTTGCTAACCCAAAATCTGATAGTTTACAATTATAATCCTGAATCGAGAATTCAAAACAGCCGGCAGTTAGCCTTCAGAGAACTATTGTTTTCTCTTATTTTCATCATACTTCAAAAGTGACCTGAAGCTCTAGATTTGTTTACTGTTGAGCTAAGCAAAAGGGCTTACAGAGTCTAGTAAGATGTTTGAAGATTTAAAGTCCCGGAATATCACTGGTTTATCTGCTTCATGTAGGAAGGCGAGGCCTTTTGCTGCTCCTAATGCAATTTTCATCCTGATTGACCATGGTAAGGCAGTAGAATACCCTGCAAATTGACCATGAGCACAATTTAACGTTATCAACAGGGAACAAGCTGAACAACTTGGTACCTTAATTTGACATTTGGAAAGGAATAGTTTAATAGATAATTTCAAGTAATAATTGATGGTTAGGAGTTCCTTTTCATTTGACATCAGCAACCATTAATCAGAACCACTACTTTCTTAAGCTGGTTTTGGCCTATGTGATCTCATACATACTTGAAAAGTCTAAGACTTCTTCATTATTAATTGTAAGTCTGAAATAAGCTACATACTTCTAAAGAGTTGATTTTCTAAGCTGCCTCTTGGCATGTATTCGTACACTAGGAGTCTGTTCTCTTCCTCGTAACAATATCCAATCAACTTAACCAGATGAGGATGCCTCAGTTGTCCAAGAAAGATGATTTCCGCCTGCAATAAAAAAAATTTTGGCATATAACTACAGTTAAATGGAGATTGGAGATTAGCAGTTATGCTCTATATGTCTTTTCGAATCTTTGAATTGGATGCAAGAGTTCAGCAGTTAAACTAACCAGCCACTCCCTATGACCTTGCAGGCCATCCAAGTCCAGTGCCTTGACGGCCACCGGCTGAGCCTTCAATCCAGGCCTCAGCTTGTCATCAACAAAACCCTTATAAACTGGTCCGAACCCTCCTTCACCAAGCAGATTACACCGTGCAAAATTATGAGTTATCAATCTTAGCTGGGCAAGGGTAAACACATGAAGATTTGAGCCAAGGAGGGAGGTAGAGAGATCATCAACAGAGAGTCGGGAGCAGGGATCGCTTACATCCGACAGAGATAGTCTCTGGAATTGATTTGACTTCAGACTCTTTTTGCCAGAATCAGACGAGGAGTTCTTGCTCTTGTAACAGCTTAACATGAAAGATTTCCATGTAACCTTCTTCATAGTCATCTTTGTATCAAACTTTCCCGTTCAAAATTGTAATTATTTGGTTTTGCTGCAGACCAAACAGAACAGACCCTTTTCTATACAGAAAAATTCAAGTGATATGCAAAGAAAAGAAGCCAAGAACGTGAAAGAAAATGAGAGAAAATGGAAAATTTTCCAAGGTATGAGGACTTTTGTGAAGGCTTATGAGACTTTTATATTAGTTCATTCACTTACCTACCCCCTCTATAGTCTATATTTATTGAAAGTCTTCAATTTTTTTTTCTCTTCATATCTTTGTTATAAATATGAAATATTTGACATTTATAATTTATATGCAAAAAAAGATGAGTATATTCCTCATTAAAAGCTTGTATTTTTTCCGGGTCTCCACACCAGAATACCTCTGGACTTTAAAATTAAATTAAAAAAATGGGAAAAAAGAAAATTTGTTATAAGCCTTTATCAGAAATGTTTTCCACAATCTAGAAACATGCATGAATCTCCATTTAATAATTGCTCTCTTTCTTCTCTTTTAAGCATTTGCTATTTGGTATTCTATATCAGTCATTTCATATCATTCAAGCACACATTTCACTTTTTTTGGGGGGACTACCGATAAAATTGGCAATTGAACATTAGAAAGTTTAAAATTCAAAAGTGAAAAAGTAATTTTTGTCTGCTAGTAGTTAGACAAACTCCAAGTGCAAGCTAATTAGTAAAATTTTATTAGGGCTTAAAGAGTACACATGGAAAGAGTAATATTCATTATAATCACATGAAACTATATATATATATTTTGTAATTTAACGTTGCTAGGATTTAATTTTTTAAAAAATTTTTGATTTACTTTTAAATTTTTTTATCCTAAATAAGACATTACACTCTAAAACTTTTTCAATTCATAATTTTCAAATACTAACTCTAACGACATATCATCTAATTTACGAGATAATCAATATTAATTATTAATAATTAAAATTAATAGTTTAATCTTTTATTAATAAATTATATGGTTGTTGACACTTAAAATTATATTATATTATATGGTTAAGGTTTAATTTCATAGGCACCTAAGGAATTGGATTAAGTTAGAATTAGGGGACAAGCACCAAATTCGAAGAATGTGCTACATCAACAACATACAATTGCTTAAAAATATATATAATTGCTAAAATTAATGATTCTAGAACATTTTGACCCTTTGATTCGGCTAACTAACTAATTAACTAATAATTGAACACTTCACAAATGAAATATACAATAAAAAGTTGCGGTGACAAGCATCGCATTTTTTATTTCAAAAAATGTTTGGCATGATAATTAACTTGTTAATTCTGATTAATTAAGCCTTTGATTAATGAAATCCTTTCATGTGTTCAACAAAAGGAAAATGTTAATTGCCTCTAAATGCCCGCCATCAATGAGACATGAAATGGCCTGTTCGATTAGAATAAGGAGATATTAACTTAATAGCAAAAAAAAAAAAAAAAAAAAAAACAGTTGGCCAAATAAAAAAAAAAAGGATAAAACAGCTCCAAAAAATAATCAGCAAAATTCCAACGGCATAACTTCATTAACTATTTTTTATACATTATCATACTACTCTAGTCTTATTTGGGGCAATTTTTGAGTGATAGAGTTTCTGGTACGTAAGATAATTTGAAGCTTAAACTCTTTGTTTATTTTGCTTAACTACATTATAGCAATGGGTTACATTTGTTTTGTGTTTCTATTAAAAAGTTCATTTTTAATATATTGATAATGAATTTTTTTTTAATTATACAAGTGGGTTTAGAGATTATTATATTTCTTACTTTTTTTAAAAAAAATTTTAATCATATCTTAAGGAGTATATGTTACATTAGTAGTGGAGTTTAAAAACTTTACTATCATTGGATGTAATAATTTCTCTACAAGATATATACATGGGAGTATATCACTTAAAATTGTTATAATATAATTAATCAGTTAAAATTTAGTATTATATATGGTCCACAAAAAATTATGTAAAACTCATATTTTTATGTGGTGAATTCTTACATAATTTTTTATTGTGATTAATTAATTATAAAATTGTAATAAAGAGAATCCATAGGCCAAATACTTCCATATATATATAAAGTCATCAAAATTTTATATAAAATTTATATTTATAAGTGATGAATTTTTATATAATTTTTTATTTTATTGAATAATTATAATATTATATCAAAAAATTTGTAAGTGAAATAATACGTCGAGTATTAGTATTAAATTTTTTTTTTAATTTAAAGTATTAATATTTGTAGGTAAATGTTTAATGCAATAAAATCATGGACCTCATTTCCCTATGTATTTTGCTTTTTTCCTTAAAAGTCAAAAAGCAAAGGATGAACAAACCAATCTGCCCCCAACCACCTTACTTTATCTTGCGTAGCAAAATTATCAAAGACAATTAGCACTTCATACCAATATATGTTCCACATGACAATAATTAATTAATTGTACTTATTATTTTTTTTTCAAATTGTTAATACCGGATTATCCATTCAATTGTTCTAACATATACTATAACACATATGGGTTTGTTACTTTACCAGAAAAGAAAAAACAAATCCAACCCAAAAAAGACATAGATAAAAAAATCAAAGATAAAAGATTATTATTATTATTATTAATAAACTTTTGAATTTGAATTCTATAAATATTTACATTCAATTCATGAAGTATTTTTGTTCATTTTAACTTGAAAACTTCATAGATTTATCCTACAAATGCGTCTTACAAATTTAAATTTAAGTTTTAACTTATGTATTATAATAAATTATCAAAATATCATTATATAAGATTGAAGTATCACAAATTTTTTTAATTAAAGTTTAACGTTTTCGTCAAATTTAGCACAAAACACATATAAAATTATAGAATTAAAATAATATTAGGCATTGAGACTTGAGATCTTAAAAGTGACACTTAACTCTCATAAGATTTTAGAAGTATCTCTCATTATGTAATACTTAAATTTCGTTCAATTAATAATTATTCTGATACCATTTGTGAAAGCTCATATCAAACTTATTAGATATTATTCGTATTAACTCAAAAATTTAATAAACTTATTTTACAAAAAATATCACGTAAATTTATATTTAAATCTCAATATATATATTATAATAAAAATTTAAAATATCTCAATATGAAATTAGGATATTTCAAATTCGAATGCCAAGTTCATAAACATACCAAAATTTTTGACCGAGCAAAGTGTCAGTTATGTTGACATTAATGATACTAAAAAAAAAAAACACTGGAGAACACCATGGGTGACAGAGAGCCATGACGGAGGCGGCTTTCATCATAAGAAAACGTTGATCAAGTATACATCTTTGTTGGTTTTGTGATTTGGTTGGAGATTTCATGAATGGCTCAGGTAGATACATGCCAAAAAAGTCCATGCATTTAATCTTTATCATTCAAATGAAGTGAAGGCTTATGACCAAAGAGATCAAGCACAGGAGCCTCCTTGGCTGAATCTGGTCCATACCATATATTTAGCATTTCTTTTTCTGCTATCGTTTTCTATGACAGGAAAATCAGGGTTCTAGAACACGTATTTACAAGGAAGCTCTAGTAATTATTTGATTTAAGAAACTAAAAATGATATTTTTGGTATCTCATTTCTTTTCATACTTAAATATTTTGGCTTGGTTGCCTACAAAGAGAATGAATTTTAGGTAATTTTTAGTTATTTTTTCTTCATATGGGGGATGTTAGTGGATCATTTTGTTGCTACATGCTGAGAAGGAAAAAGGAATTACCAGTGGATAATTAAACATAAATTGAAAATGCTTGAGAAAAACAAAACAGAGAAATGCCAAATGCCTACTTTTTTTTTTTTTTATAAATTGAGTTACCAGACCAAACTAGAACTTTAAACTAATAAATAAATGGGCAATCTCCACGTGTCTCACTGGTGTATGAGGGAATAATAAAAGGAGCTAGTTGTCTTTGAGCAGTTCTCTGTGTCCCCCATTTCTTTCCGTTCTCTCCCCAACATTCGGAAGAAATTTTTGGTTGTTTCATTCATGATTAGATGAACACGAAAGGGTTGAATTTTGACCATACAATCCTTATACATATTCTTCCCTTCTTTCCCTCTCCTCCTTTCTTTTCCTCTCCTAGTAAGAGTTGGAAAAGAGATTTCTGATGGATTCATCAACGATAATTAGAAGAACTTAAAATATCGAATTACTACTATATATATACATGAATTTAGTGATTCAGAAATTTAATTTAATTAATTTATATAATTAAAATATAACATCTAACTGATTTAAAATTTAAATATTAACAATTATAATCACTTTTATTATCCCTATATTTTAATCTCCTTTGTAACAAATTTTTGCTTAATTAAATTCCTGATTCTTCTTTGTTGCTATCATTAGAAATGACCCCATAACAATTTCTTAATTTGTCCAAAGAATGAAGGACATTAACATCAGGCAGTTAGCTAGTCGTTGGGATTCATCTTCTTGAGAGGTTAAATTCAGTGAATGGCAAGATCCAGAGAACAGGTTACATGGGTTACGTGGTTGGATAAGTTTGGCTCATGAAAGAAACTGATGTTAAGGTTTGACGTGTTCAATAATTGATTCTGCTGCGTCAAGAAAGAAAAAACATGTCACACACACACACACATATATATATATATATATATTCTGCAGCAGCAGCCTATTGTGTTCCTTAATTGTCTAGCATGACAACCTGCCCACCAAGAAACTGTTTTTACGTGAAAATTACGACTTCCCCTTCAGTATCTTACTTGTTTCCGTGGCAAACATTTTCTAATTTGGCCTATCCTCTCTCCCCGCCCCCCGCCCAGAGAACCTGGAAATTTTCCACAACTAAACCCAATGTGGACGGTGGTAATGAAAGTGATGCTCTGATCCAAGGCAATCAACATGGCTATTTTTCACCGCTATAAAAGATTTTTTTTGGTGTAAAAGAAACGGTCATGCAAAGATTTGATTTGATTAATTAAATAGTGCATAATTTATAAAATTTTAAAACTTATTCGTATTTGAATTAATTTTTTATGTGATTTAATCTAAATTAAACTTTATCAGTTAAATTTAATTCATTGATTTTTTATATTTAATTTTTTGATTTTATATATTATTGTAATATTATTTTTATTATATTTAAATAGATATAAATACAAAATAATTATTTTTATTTTATAAAAAGTTAATATTATAAAAATTAATAAAAATATATAAAATTTTATTAAATTTAAATTTTAAATTGAACTTAACATGTACATTTAATATTTAAATTTAATTCAAATAAAAAAAAAAAACTCAATCAAAATCAAACTTAATAATACCATTTAAAATCATTTTTCGATTTTCTTTCTCTCACCCTTAACTAAATATCTGGGAGCCTCTCCGATCTCAAAGCTTTTGCTTTCCGAATTCTGATTATAATTAAATCGTAATAAAGAGAGTTTGGTGAGCGGATCACCGTCGCTCCCACATAAAGGAAACCAACCAAACCAACCCATTCGTCCTCTGTTTATTTCTATTCTCGTCACTTAATTTAATATATCAACACGAAATGTCTTCCAAAATTTTCCACTGCTACTCTCTTCAAATGTAACTTAGATTAGTTAATAAACTACAGGAAAACAACAATAATTTTGTATGTAATTTGTTTCAATTAGCGAACACCTTTTTGTTTTGCTTGCCTTTTTCTAAATGAATTTAGAATTCAAATAAAAATATAATTTATAAAAGAATTCAAAACTTAATCATTTTTTTATGGGTTTATATTTGATATGTTTTTAGTATATAAATTTTATAAATCATCAGTAAATTAAATTAAATTATTTTATTAATAAAATGAATTAAAATATTATTTTATTAATAAGATGAATTAGATAATATTATTTTATTAAAAAATATTAATTTTTTATTATTTATTTTAAAAATTAATAATTATTTATTAATTTGATAATATTATTTAATTAATCTATAGTGAATAAAATTTATAAATTGACAGTATAACAAATAAAAATCTTTTATTTATATAATCACCTTTAAAAATAAATTTAATTTTTAATATTTATAATTTTTTTTAAACACTTCTATTAAAAAAAAATTCCCTTATAAAACCTTAAAATGGAAAAAGGTTGCTAGTACCATTCCATATAAAATAGGCGCCCAAAAATTAAGGTGTCAAAACCAACTCTCCTCCGTCTCTCTACTTTCATTTCGCTTAGCTTGAAAGGCTAAAACCCTTCTCTCTACCAGTCAACTGCTATGGCACCCTCCTTTCTCAGCATTGTCTCCTTATACGGTATCTATCTCCGCCGATGCTTTGCCACCTCTGGCCTCACTTCACAATCTGTTGACATTGACGACGAGACCACTATCCACTTATGGGCTCCAAAGCCTGATCAAACAGCCCAAGAACAAAAACCCGCGTTGCTTTTGCTTCACGGATTCGGACCGAGCGCTATGTGGCAATGGCGTCGACAGGTCCAGTTCTTTACCTCTTACTTCCATGTTTACGTTCCCGACCTGATCTTCTTCGGGAATTCCACAACGAAGTCCGAGGAAAGGTCCGAGATTTTCCAGGCTGCTTCGTTCGGTAAGTTGATGGAGAAGCTTCAAGTGAAGAAGTACCACGTTATGGGGACTAGCTACGGAGGGTTTGTGGCGTACCACATGGCGAAACTGTGTCCGGACAAGGTGGAGAAAGTGGTGATAGCGAGCTCTGGAGTTAACATGAGAAAAGCAGATAACACGGCGTTGCTGAAGAGAGGTAATTTGGAGAATATTGAGGAGATTATGCTCCCGGAGACCGCTACTCAGTTAAGGACTTCAATTCGTTTGGCTGTGTCCAAGCGTTTCAACATAATTCCTGAATTTCTATTGAATGACTTTGTCAACGTAAGTTTTTTCTTTTCCTTGTAACTTTGATCATAAGTAGCTTTAATTATAAAGAGGGGTCAGAACAATCTTTCACAAGATTTGAATCTTTTTTTGAAATAATACTAGATCTGAATCTTGAATTCTTGGTCTTTGGAGAAAAAGTAATAGCAAAAAGAAGGAAAAAAAGAAGAGACCAAGAACTTTGATGAAGGTGGAAGAAGAAGGGAAAGGCCAGGAGAGCTCAGCTGAATCAAGGAGAATCCTTACTTGTAACACAATCTTTAATTAATTAATCTTACTAACTACATGTATGCACGTAAAGAATGAAGCCCATTTTAGCTTTAATAATTTCAAGGTAAAGTAATAAACAGTTCTCTTTCTTTATTTGCATTTTCCAGGAAAATTGTCCAAAATCCAAATGTAAGGTTTCTTCACTTATTTATTCCTTCTGGAAGCTGGGTTCCACTTCCATTTCTAGTTCAAATCTTAATTCCGAGGACCTAGTAGTAATAGGCAAATTCTTTTTTTTTTCCCTATTTTTATCACTTAAGTGTAATGTCTGTCTACTTAAGAAAACGAAAGCTGTTATGTTGCTTGATCAACAGTAGCACTATATATTTTTCTTAGTTAATTTCATGCAAATGCAGCAATTGTACTCAGATAATAGAAAGGAGAAAATGGAACTTCTAAGGGGAGTGACCCTTGTCGCGGATGATAATACAGTCAAGGTTGTGCCCCTTCAACAGGTACATATCCACCATCATTTTTACATACCGTCATAAAAGTATCTGCAAACTTTCCCTGTTCATATCAATTTTACCAACAGCAGCACCTAACCCCATTACAGTATCTAGTGTTCTATGTTATAGTTGTTTAACTTCCATTGATTATTGATATATATATATATATATATATATATTGCTGCTTAATGTTTCATGTGCCTGTTGATTAGGATGTCCTGTTGGTTTGGGGAGATGAAGACCAGATTTTTCCATTGAAAATGGCTCATGAACTCAAGGAGTATGAACACTGCACCCTTGATTCAATCCCCAAAATTTTCATAATTAATGTATTATTTCACAAATCTGTCAGCTTAAACAATGAAGCTTTTGGCTATTTGGGATTTCAGGCTTCTTGGGAAGAAGACGAGACTGGAAGTAATAGACAACACATCTCATGTACCCCAGATTGAGAACTCAGCACAGTTCAACAACATTGTCAAAAACTTCCTATGTGGGTCTTGATCTTGATTATATGCTATCATTAATTTAATTTCCTATATTAAAATTGTAAATTTCTATGTAATGTTGTTGGAACATTCAAGAATAAACCTTCTTCCATCCTTGAGTTCCTGATTTTGATTTTCACAAATTAGCTTTGATTTCTTTACAAATTATAAAGAAAACATAGGCTTTTAAGACGTTAAAAGCCTATGTTTTCTTTATAACCAATTGCTGTTCTTGTACGGGCTTCTTTTAATAATTTTAGGAAATTTCCAAAAATATGATCATCATTGAATTATGTACATTTTTTGTGACAAAATTTATATATATTTTTACATAAAAAACCTTCTTATTAAACTTAATTGAATCATGAAATGGATGGGATATGAGAACGGGAATGACAGAAACTTACTAACTCAACCAATAAAATTTTAAGTAGGAAATACTGGAAAATTGGCCAAAAAACAAAAGAGCACCCAGTAGACCAGTCATTGTTTTTCATCCAAAAAAAGTGAAAAAAAAATCTTTAATTTTCTTTTTTTCTTTGGTCAAAATGTGGGAGGAAGATGGCTTTCTAAACAGAGAGAATCAGAGGGAAAAGCACAGGAAAAAGAAAGACAGTAGCAGCAGTAGGAGCAGCTGCTGCAGCAGAGTCCAGTCCAGTCTAAGCGCCTGTATATAATTTCCCGACACACCCATTCCAGACTTCCTATCATATTATAAAAAAATATAAAAATACTAGATTCTGCTACATAAATAGAGTGTTTTCTTTTTTTTTTTTTTTTTTTTTTTTTTCTGTTTTTCTATTATTTGATGTACAAATCTTTTTCTAACTTTGACTGAAGATAGAGAGAAAAAGAATGCAGCCAAAGCCAACGCCTTCGCAGCGATCTCTCTTCTTTCTTCCTGGCTTGCCTCTCTAAAATCTATTCTCATTTTATTTATATTCACAATTTTCACACTAACTTATACAAAGTTTCAAACTTCTTTTATTTCTACTAATAAAAATCCATACTTACCAAAAAACAAAAAAAGCAAAAGCATTTTCTTTTTAACTCTGGTGTATGTGTGTGTTTACCCTGCCCCAATTGTCCAAATCTTGAGCCAACCCTTTACTTCATTAAGCTCGCCAGAGACCGGGCCATTCTTGTTATTGGGTAAGTTTCTCTCTCTCTCTCTCTCTCTCTCTCTCTCTCTCTCTCTCTCTTTTTGCATTTTGTTGAAGTTTCAATCTCCTTTTTTTTTTCTTAAGATCTTTTGGTTTCTTTGGCTTGAACTTGGAGATCTCTTTGTTGGTTTTTTGGTGAACTGGTAATTAGATCAGGAGGATTTTAGCTATGCTCTTTTAGTGTTTTGTTGTTTTAGCATTTTGGGTTTTCTTTTTCTTACAAGTGTCTGCCTTGGTTCTACCGATTTCTTACTGTTCTTTTGAGGTGAAGGTTTTAAGGTAAACTAAAATGGTGAGCAGCTAAGATTTGTAGTTCTTGCTAAATTGGTGGATTATGAAGTACAGTGAGACTGTTGTTTGATAAAGTTGTGCGCTTTAGTTTGTATAACTTGATTATAATCTTCATGGAAAAGTTGGGGAGGCATGAGAATTATGCGGTGAAGGAGGGTGGTAAGTCCAAATCGTCGTAAACATCTAAAGGAGGGTATGTTGATTGTGTGTGGTTAAATGGTAAACACAGAAATGGACAGTCATGTATGGTGTACTTATTGTTCTCTACGACATGTGTCTTTGCTGTCATGCTCCCATTAAGTTTGTAGATTCATGAAAGTGACATGGAATTTGATCACTGATTTGCAGTCTTACATCTGAGTGGGAATTTTATCAAACATGATAGGCTATAGTCCATGTTTCTACCTTTTTGAATGTTTTGGCTGCTGATCGTATGAGTTTGCTCAGCTGGATTGCATGCCATTTAATCCATATTTCCAGGACTAGAATTTTCTTATGATTTGTGATTTTGCCTCGCTAGGAAGTTTCTCAAGTTGATTTAAGAAATTTCTTGATTTTTAACTGAAGGATCTCTTTTAGGGTAGACATCCGTAATCATATTTGGCTTTCTGCTTAGGTTGGCTTAATTACATTATTAGCAAATACTGTAGGAGGCAAGGGTACATAAGACACCTTTTGGGGCTTGATTCACGCATCTTCTATGCTGTCACTCTTCTAGAGAATATGGGCTTACTCTGCAGCAAGAACCGTCATTACACTGAAGCAGATGCTGAGGAGAATTCACAGGTAAGCTACAATTTACATATATCATCTGTCACCCTTTTATGGAGTACAACTGGGTGAACTCTCTGGATATGGTTTTATTTACACAATCTGTTCGTTTCAGTTTAATTTCTAGTTTGTGGCTTTTCAGGCTGCAGAAATTGAAAGGAGAATTGAACAAGAAACAAAGGCTGAAAAGCATATCCAGAAGCTTCTAGTACTTGGTGTGTAGAACTTGGATTGTGCTCCTTGCTGCCTTATTTGTTCGCAAAGAACAAGTTATGTACTTTTATATTTTGCCTGTGTTAAATTCTTGTTCTTATATTTAAATGGTTGAAAACATCAATGTGGAACCATTCGTCGTTTTGATCAATTAAGTCTTAACAATTGAGATAAGCAGTTGAGCACCCTAATCTGTTCTTGCCAAATTGCTGCAATGCTTTTTTTCTTTTTTTTTGTTCTTTCAATGCTTGTAACTCTCCAACCCCCTCCTCCTTCTCTTCTCCATAAATGATTCAAATGTTCTTTTGTTTTTAGGTGCTGGTGAATCTGGGAAATCAACAATTTTTAAGCAGGCAAGACAGATTGATTGGTCCTTTATTGAATTGTATTTCATATTTTTTGAAAATGCTGATATCTGTATCTTCTTTTTATTCTACATGACTTGTGAGCAGATAAAGCTTCTATTCCAAACAGGCTTTGACGATGCAGAACTAAGGAGCTATATCTCAGTCATCCATGCCAACATCTATCAGACTATAAAAGTACGCAATACCTGAAAAGGGTGTGTTTGTTATTTCCCTTTCGTATAATATAAATATATAAGGGCATCTGGCGTCAGTTATCTATTATGAGATATTTTATTTCTGTCATGAGTTGCACTTTTATCTATGTTTTTAAATTGTGCTTTACATGGTCCAACAGATACTTTATGATGGATCAAAGGAATTTGCTCAAAATGATGCTGATTCTTCCAAATATGTTTTATCCAGTGAAAATAAGGTTTGAAGTCATCATTTTCTGCTACACAGTATTTGTTGAGTTTATTAAATTGCATGCCTTTTTTTTTTTTTTGAATAAATCATTTCTGATTTGTTCAAAATAGTACATCAACTTTCTATTCTCTATCAGGTTATTGGAGAGAAACTATCAGAAATTGGAAGCCAGTTGGATTATCCATGTCTAAATAGAGAACTTGCACATGAGATAGAAACTCTCTGGAAAGATTCTGCAATTCAGGTAACTACCATTTTATCTATATATGATATAAGATGATTTTGCATGCATAAGCATACCTTCATTGCTTAGTTTTGTATTTTTAGTGTTTCTTCTTTTTTTTTTAAAGGGGGGGGGGGGGGGCGCAGAGGGTATGGAATTTACTGAATCTGTTGAAATTAGAAGGTTACTGTTTATGGTGCATTTAGTACTTATTCGCTCTATGTACTTGTAGGAAACCTATGTTCGTGGTAATGAACTTCAAGTTCCAGATTGTGCTCATTATTTCATGGAAAATTTGCAAAGATTGTCTGATGCAAATTATATTCCAACAAAGGTATCTAGAATTTGCATTATTTCCTTCTTACAAAAGTTGTTGTGGCATGCATACATCCTGCTTATCAGAACAATTGTCATATTTATGTACCTCTCAATAAGATGAGCTAGCATGATTCAGCGAACATTCAAAATGAAATTTTTATGTGCCTGTCAGCCTGTCTGGATCTATATTAGCTTAGTTAACATGCAAGCTGTCAGTCACATTTCATGATAGCTTCTCTTCTAAAGTTATTTCTCAAAAGTGTAGAAGGTATGTATTTCAGAATTTCTAACTCTGTCCATCAGCTTCCTAATATGTTTTCATATTGCAGGAGGATGTTCTATATGCAAGAGTTCGTACAACTGGTGTTGTAGAAATCCAGTTCAGGTGAATTACATTTCTTCCTAATCTCTACTTTGCCTGTGCAAGTGCATTAATGTTAGAACTAGGTTAGCCCTAATAAATGAACCTGTGTTTTGCCTTCGAGATATCTAATTTACTTATTTCAGATTTATATACGTATAAATAAATTCAAATAGGTACTCAATTATTTTTTTTACTTGACATGATCTTTGGACATTATAGTTTTAGTAATGTGACTTGAATCAATTGTTAGATCATAGATGCAGGGTTATTTCTTGTCCGCATTGACTTTGTTTGGTATATTGATTGCTAACTCATGTTGTCTATGACCTCTGCAGCCCTGTGGGGAAGAATAAGAAAAGTGGTGAAGTATACAGACTCTTTGATGTGGGAGGCCAGAGAAATGAGAGAAGGAAATGGATCCATCTTTTTGAAGGAGTTACTGCTGTGATCTTTTGTGCTGCTATTAGCGAGTAAGATCCCTTTTTCTTTTGCCACCTTAAATTTCCTTTTGTTTGTATGCCTAACAATATGACTCTGTATCTAACGAAGCATGGTGTCAAAACGCCAAAATTTTAACCTGATAATTATTGCTGTTTTAGCTATGATCAAATTGAGGATGAACAGAAGAACCGGATGATGGAGTCAAAAGAACTATTTGATTGGGTCTTAAAGCAACCATGCTTCGAGGTTTTCTCTATGCTATATATGCTCTTTGTATGTGTAGAAGGCTGAGGATAGCTCATAGCTGGTATTTCACTTCATTTAAAAACTTGTTTGTTTTGTGCAGAAAACATCCTTCATGCTGTTTCTAAACAAATTTGACATATTTGAAACGAAGGTTCTAAAAGTAAGGCCGGTATAACGGTATCGGATGTTGAAAATTTAGCATCAGTATGGTCTTTGACATTCTACATTCTGTAGGTTCCGCTAAATGTATGCGAGTGGTTCAAAGATTACCAACCAGTTTCAACAGGAAAGCAAGAGATTGAGCATGCATACGAGTAAGTAATTCACTAATTTGTCTCACCTTTCATGTAAACGAGGAATTTCAATCCCATACCCATTTATTATTCTCTTTCTGTTCAGGTTTGTAAAGAAGAAATTCGAGGAGTTGTATTTTCAAAGCACAGCCCCTGATCGAGTGGATCGGGTCTTTAAGATCTACAGAACCACTGCCCTTGACCAGAAGCTTGTGAAGAAAACTTTCAAGCTGGTGGACGAGACTTTGAGACGGAGAAATCTCTTCGAGGCTGGGTTGTTGTGACTGCAGCAGCCTGTTTCCAACGACTGTTCATAATATGACTGAATGTGATCAGATTTTGGATGTTTTAAGGTCGGAGGAAACACCCATCTATTGACTGCTGGCATATCATATTATTGTCATATTTTCTTCACAGGCTAAGTTTTGGTTTTTCCCATTTTGTTGATCAGTTATCACAAGGTTAAAATGTGTTTTTTTTTTTTTAAATCCCCATGATTCTAGAGACTCTGATTTGTTCATAGGAAAACATTCCCTGAGAATTTGTTTTCCTTGTCTGTTTATTATATTTCAAGTTGGGGATCGGATCAGGCGTATGAAGGAACAATGAACATGATATTCTTTCTATCCTAGTAATACAACTCATTGTTATTCATGTTCCACTCTGTGGGAACAATGAACATGAAATTAAATCTCACTTTTGGTCACTATTGTTATGGTTACAACGAAGCCATGATTTCATCATTAATAATACAACAACTTAGCCCTCGCTAATTAGAAAGCTGGAGTTTTTGTGACAATTCAGTGGGGCCACATATTCCGCGTCAGAGAAAAGATCAAAAGTACAAAGAAATGATAAAACCATTTTGTTTTCCACTTTTGTCCTTCCAAAAAGTCTGGAGCCACTGTGACTTGTTTTCCTTCTTATCCATTACAGAGCATATTCCATTCTCTCTCCCTCAAATAAAAACTGACACCAAAAAAAAAAAAAAAACCCCAACTTTTGGTATTTTGAACCTCGTGATCTCGACATGCAAGTTTTCTTCTCGTAATTTCAGGCACGTCTTTTCACGTTTCACTTTCTTCCCTTTTTCGACTTTTTTTTTCCTTGTAAAACTCATTATAATTCTTGGTGATTTAATTACTACTTATTTTCATTGCCGTTCTAAAATCGATATGGTTGAAGTCTGATTTGATTATCGATTTTTCTTTGTAGATGAATTATATCGAATTAGTGGTAAAATTGAACACCCAATTTGTCCAGTTCAGAAAAGGTCAAGGTTTCTGAATTGAGCATTTATCTGAAGTCAGAAATATGTGGAATAATTGGTTGATTTTCATGGATTTAGATGGAAGAGGGTCTCCATATATTTTTTCAACGGATCCCTTTGTATCCAATGGTTTGGGAGCTCATTTGTTTTCGCAGTTTAGTTCATTTGTTGACAGCTCTTTGTACCGTTCTAAACACTTGTAAGTTTGGCATTTCGAGAAGCTTTTAGTTGCATGCACATGTTTTGGGGTTCATTACTGTTTTGGATCTCTTGTACGTCGACTTCGAATTTGAGTAGGAATATATCGACTGGTAATCAACGTGGTTTGAAATCTGGATGTTGTAAGCCTTCAGCTCTGGTTAAGCACATTGCTCCTTGTAAGAATCATCTTGCTGGATTTCACTTTGCTTCTGAATCGAAAGCCCAATCTGCCACCCCACTTTTTTTGGTAAAATTTCGAGTTATGCGATGAGACACTTCTTTGGAGAAGCGGAAGCACTCCAATCCCCTCCTCTGCTGTCATTAGCTGCTGCTCTGATACCACCACTTGACAACTTGTAGGGTTTTTTATCGTGCAAATTACATTGTCTTTTATCTTTCTGGATCGTGTTTATCTATCACATGGTTTCTCATTGATTAAGATATTTGATTTAATGTTATCAGATGTGCAACAGTCGTAGCTGTTCCACTTGAAAACACCGAAGTTCAACTGCAAGAATGCATGGATAGAAGGCCTCGTGAAGTTGGGCATCAAGGATGTGGCAGTCTATCTTTTCTAGATTTGAACCGGAGACGACATGCTGTTGAACCCAGAATCGGCATTGAGTTCCCAACAATATTGGATAACATATTAGATAGACAGAATAATTCCAGTTTAGCTTCTGAGGTAAAACATTGTGGACTGATTGCTGTTGCTAATGTGACCATCACTAACACACCCTGTATCAACCATTTGTGAACTGTGATATGCCTTTATCTGTTTGCCTGCATTAGTTTAGCCGCCTATTTATATTGTGGTATGTTCACAATGTAGTTTGATATGCTCTCTGGAATTTAATTTCTTTTTCATGCTGTTAGCCATTTACTTCCTGCAGTTGCTTGCACGCATTATAGGCACCTTGATTGAAATTTTAAACTGATTTTAAAGCTTTCCATAGGTTTGCCATGGCATTTGCGTCACAAAACATATGGGCCAAACTTGAATGGTCACAATGTGAACGTTCATCACTTTAACATAATCCTGTCATTTTTTACATGTTGGGGGTCTCTGGGTTTTTTTTTTTTTTTTTTTTTTTGCAATAACTTAAACAATATCTCAATGCTTTCAGGTGCTTGTTGGTACTGGATCAAGAACCATGAAGATAATCAAAATTAAGTCTCAGAAGGTATGCATTTGGTTTTTGTAAGTACCTGTGATTTTTGCTTGATTCCTCCTGCATTATGTTATTAGTGATGCTGTTTTTCTAATGCTTCAACTACTCATGCTTGATTTTCCTTTTCCCCTTATAGAAATTCATCCACACTCTGTATGCTAGAAATTGGGTCCAAAGTATGCTTCTATTCCAGTGGGTGAACCAAACAAACACAATGATTTTTATCAGGATCTTCTTAGGTACTTGAGAATTTTCGTGCTGACGACTTGTAACATTCATAAGTTGTTTGTTCAGAGTCATAAGTGTGGACGCATTTTAGGCTCAGTCTTGTATTTTTGCTCCCTTTTTGTTTTTTTTTGCAGACTTTGCTGTCATTTCTGTGTCTATTTTCTTACAAATCTTTTCCTATACGAGTGTGCAGGGAGGATATTGGTATGACTGTTAGGCTAGTGGTTAACTGCAATGGGATGAAATTCAATACGGTAAGAGAGTAAGTTCTATTTCCCATTTGTTGTACAATTGAAAATTTTGTCAACTTGATAGTCCTGATTGCATGCCACTGCGACTCCTTGGAAACTGCTTTCTGTGAGGCTCATACGTTGATTAGGTGCTAGGGCTCTTGTGGTCAGACTTGCAAATGTCTATTATCAATATTAAGTCTGATGAGAGTTGCTTGGATGAATTTGGATGGGCTGCATCTTGATTTTCTCATTTATTGGCTTTAATTGTGTATGTTGCAGTGCATTTGAAACATCTCTTCATGCACGTCTAGTAAAGGTAGGTAATCAAACTTGGTTGATTTTAATTTGCCCTTCCTTTCTTTTCTTCTTTTAATTGGTCTTCTAGATCTGCTGGACTTCTGACAAATTTCTTGATTTCTGCTAGACAAATTCTAACACTGCTTATCAATGCTTAAGTACATTTGGCTCCTACTTCACTCAAGATATTGCATTGCCTGCGGTAATGCCCCTTTATTTATCCTCTTTTCCATGATTTAAGGCAGCAGCAACTTACCTTAACTCTATTGAGATATTTGCAGGGAACAATAATCAACTTTCAGCGGACAGCTGATGGACAACTAATTACCAAGAGTAAGTTCCTTTCTTGTTTTGTTTATCCCTTCTCCAACAGTAACAACCACTTAATGAGAATTATCTTGGGCTGTTTGTTCCATGGAAAATGAGTAAACAAGTGATCTGACTAAGCACAAATTTCGCCAATAATTTGTATTTGTAAAACATTGTATAAGTATACATTAATCTTATCGTGAAAGAAATATAACAAATATTTGTGCAGTTGGAGGGAATCAGATTGGAGCGGTCCATAGCAAGGATTTGTGCAGTAAGTAAATCTCCTTTGTCTTAGCGATTCTTTACGCTTTGAAGTGTGTGGATTAGCTGTAGAATACAATTTGAAACGCAGAGGTTGAGATCTAATATGGGTCGTATGCCGGGGGCTTTCTTCAACATATACATTGGAGATTCCCAGTGTTGGAGCAACTAAAGAAGACATTGGCAGAAATGTCAAAAGCATTATAAGGAGATGCTGAGGTGGCTTGTTTTCCATCAACATTGTCTCAATTTTTGAACGGGCAAATTGCTGCTGGCATTATGAACTTAACCTTTGATGGACTTTTATACAATACTTTAGAGGGGTGGTTGATGAATGTAATAGGGCAATCACAAAATTCAATGCAAACCTTGCAATGGATTGCTCGCAAATACGAATCATAAAACCTATGATAGTTTTAATTGTTACAATATTATTTGTAGATGTCCCTATTATCATCTTTTTTGTACACAAATGTAGTCGTCACATCGTTATTTTTCTTTAGATAACCGTTACTTACCAGAGGAACACCAAATCCAATCACAATGATTGAAGTATGAATGTCATGGTTCATGCCTGTTGAAGGGGGAATTATTGATGCAAAAACAAAAAAAGAGATAAACAGATTCAGCTGAAAACAAAGTTAACCAGAAAAGCATCAGAAATGTGTCAGCTATTTAATTTATTAGACGTTTAGGAACCAGAAAACTGGCAAATTCTCAGGACTTTGAAGAGTGGCCTTAAGGCCAAGATCTTTTTATAATGAAGGATTTCATCTACTTCACTTGCATTCTTCAATGAAATCCTCAAGGATTGGGATTTTGCTTGTAATACTTGAGTGACCTCCCTCTTTCATTAATTTGTTAATTTCTCAGCAAGGATTTACATCAAATTGTCCACCAAAAATACTAACAAAGAGAATCAAATTTAAATTTGACAAACAAAATATTTTATTCTTATTGATTCAACCGATTTCTTGTGGACATTCATTTGTCAAATTTCAATTGTTATTATAACAATCATGGGAGACTAAAGTAATACCTTCCGGTTGTTAAGTTAATTCAACAAAATAAAATGCTAGCTCATCGTTCTATCTTGTTGAATTTCCTTCATTCATTTTTTATAGCTAACACTAAATCTTAATAGTTTTTGGAATCGTAAGCACTAAAGATAGAATCGGTTTTTGTCTAACAAAACAACAATCCAATAATAAACACATCGTGAAACTGGGGGCTGAAATAACTGACCAAGAATCTCCTCGTTATTATTGCAGGAAAAAAATGCGAGGTCGAGAGCTAGGGGAACCCCAACTCTACCAATGATTCTAAACACCGCATATTAAGTATAGTAAAAATCATGTTTAGTGTGTCTAAATAAGGGTAAACCTCCTCTGAAATTCTCTCAAATCTCCTCCACCTTCTCTCCTCCACTCCTAAATTTAACATACAAATGCGTTTTGGCTCACTATAAATAGTCCCTCTCTCATTCTTTCCAACCATCAAAACCCAAAACTAAACAATATTTCAACAAAAAAAGAGAGGCCCTGCTTTTAACTTGGCACTCGGATGCCTTGGAGCTCCTACCAAGGCCTCTCAAAATATTGAATTGTTTTGGAAGTAGATTTTGGGTTGTTGTTTCCATGGAAACTTTTGCAAGAACATCTGCTGCCGCTCTTGTGGCATGGTTGGCTCTTTTTCAAGGGTATCTAATCGCTGTTAATGGTCATAATTTTAGCTACAAGGAAGCCCTCACCAAGTCCCTCCTTTTCTTGGAAGCACAGAGATCAGGGAAACTCCCTCCTAATAATAGAATACCCTGGAGAGGAGATTCTGCTCTTGATGATGGAAAAGAAGAAAATGTAACCCTTCATTCATTTTTTTCTATCTTCCATCAAAATATTCTTTGATTTGCATGCATGTTAATTTTGTGAATTACTAGTTGTTTAATTTTGCATTTAATTAATGCAGGTGGACCTTGTCGGAGGATATTACGATGCAGGAGACAATGTGAAGTATGGAATGCCCATGGCCTTCACAATTACCACCCTGGCATGGTCTGCTATTGCTTACAGATCCGAGCTGCAATCTTCTGGCGAGTTAGGAAATGTTCATGCGGCTATTCGTTGGGGCACTGATTATTTTCTAAAAGCCTCTTCTAGACGTAACAGATTGTACGTTCAGGTGAAGTAATCGAGACCCCATTTTCTCTATAGTCTATTCGCATTTGCTTTTATAATATTATTACTGCATTTTTCAACAGTGTTTGATGCTTAGTTTCTATGTTGGGTTTCTAAAAGGTTGGTGACCCTGTAAAAGACCATGAATGTTGGGTAAGACCAGAGAATATGAAGACACCAAGAACTGTCCTGAAAATTGATGAGAGCACCCCGGGAACAGAGATTGCAGCGGAAACTTCGGCCGCAATGGCTGCTGCTTCCATTGTCTTTAGACACATTGATCGTCCCTATTCACGTCACCTTCTTAACAAAGCCAAACTGGTATGTATATATATATTTTAGGCATTTATATATGCCTTTTTCTTTAAATGATTGCATTTTTGCTTTTTAACTGCAAGTTTCGGACGTTGAAGTTATTTTGTTTTGGCTATTTTTCTTCTCAGCTTTTCCAATTTGCCAAAGCGCACAAGGGAACTTACGATGGAGAATGCCCCTTCTATTGCTCTTACTCTGGCTATAATGTAATCTCTCTTTCTCTATTCAATTCATTTGCTATTTTAATCTCAAACACAATGATAATTTGCAATCAGGAAGAATGAATGAGGGTGAATTTCTTTGATGATAGAAAAATTAATCTGAAATCAATGGATGCAATGAAATCGATCACGTATTGTTTGCCTCCATAATATTATAACATTCACCAAGCTAATTTCATTGGTTGGGAAAATACAGGATGAGCTGTTGTGGGCTGCAGCATGGCTATACACAGCCACCCATAAGCCTGCATATATGGTATACATCACAGAAGAAGCAGTTAGTGCAGTTGTCGATGAGTTTAACTGGGACCTCAAATACGCTGGAATTCAAGTCCTCCTTTCTCAGGTCTGATAGACTATAACAATATTTTTATTTCTACTCTTCGGGGAGGCAATGATGGCAGTTGATTTATTATTGATTGATTACATTCTTTTTGGAATGAACCTCATCTCACCAATATTCTTTTCAAAATGCAGTCTTTCTTTCAAGGTGACCAGGCTTTGAAATCCTACAAGGACCAAGCTGACAGTTATATTTGCTCAGTGCTTCCTGAAAGTCCTTATCACAAAATTCCCATGACTCCAGGTCTCTTCTGCCACTCCATATGTCTCTGCTTCGTTTTTGAGTGATGATGATAATGAAAATGATGCTTATATTTTAAGTACTGATTGATTTGATCAGGTGGTCTGATTCACTTGAGAGATGGAGCCAACCTTCAGTATGTTACTGGAGCTTCTCTCCTGTTCACCATCTATGGTGATTTGCTTCGAGAATACAACCAAAAGGTCCAATGTGGAGACAAACAGTTTGACTCCACCCACCTCTTGGCTTTTGCTAAGCAGCAGGTAAACAAATTTCCAAAATCTGTCTTCAGAAAAAAGAAATGAAGTAGATTACATTAATTGCTTTGATGGCTACATAACACCAGTAATTAATAAATATCATTATATAATTGAATTTGAGATTTAATTCAATTGATTCATATTAGATTTTAATCTCAGACTGTCCAACATCTATAACTTTTTTCTATTCTCGTGACCTCTTTTTTTTAAAAAAATACTATATATGGTTATGTACTAATCTATTTCTTTGGTTGAATGGAAATTTACAGATGGACTACATACTAGGGCAAAACCCACTACGAAGATCATACATGGTTGGGTTTGGGAACAATCCACCAAAACAAGCGCACCACCGGGGTGCCTCAGTCCCATCATCGGATGCTAAGTTGGACGTGGGCTGCCCCATGAGCTTCGTTCGTTGGTACAACAAAAATGTACCAAACTCTAATGAGTTAACCGGCGCTATTCTTGGTGGACCTGACAAGCAAGATCATTTCAGTGATCTACGTTGGACATCCGTCTACACTGAGCCATGCACTTACGTCAACTCTCAAGCTGTCGCTGCCTTGGCAAGGCTTGCTTGCCCTGTTAAGCCATAATTTCTTTACCCAACTCAGTGTGCAGATGGTGGAACAGTTGTCTCAAACTAAACTAGTCATGTAGGAAAAAAAAATTAAGTTGTTTTGATCAAACTCATGAAAATTCCAAGTCAAAAACTATTGCTTTTCCAGAACTTTTACAATGGAATTTGACCAGTTACTATCTATTTTGTGTAACTGAATTTATTATTTCTGAGTTTGCTACTGTATTAAAGAAAAAGAAAAAACCTAATTTAGTGCATGAAATGAACATAAATTATGGTGCATTGCCGCATTGGACCCATTTCTTTTTGTTCCTTTTTTTTTTTTCAAAGTACAATACTTTATTAAATTAAAACACCAAAGAGAATAAAACAAGCAGAAAAGCATAAAACTAATAACATTAATCATATCCTCCAAAACAAACGTGGACATATCCATATCCATACAATAATTAATTGATTAGATGACATAAAATGCAAAGCTGTTCTTATATTAAAAGCAAAAGCTGGCTTCCTTTAACTAAAAGAAGTCATTGTAATTATCATTATTATATGCCACTTAATTTCCCTACCACAACTTTTATCTCTTCATTTATTTTCTTTTAATGATATAAATCTCTTATTACACAAAATTTAAAGAAAAAAAAAGTCCAACCCTGAAGTTTTAAAACTCTTAATATGAAACTTTTTTTAAAGAAAAGGTAAATAAAAAAAGAGAAATACTAATAATTTACATGCAAGTATCATTTATTTTGTTTTATCACTTTGGAATTTAGATTATTTTAAGTACATTTTGAATTTTAAAAAAATGAAAAAAAAAAAAAAGAAGAGAATTTTTATGTAAATGGAGAAAAGTGAGAGATCCATTGCGGATAAGGTTTTTGGTGTGTTCTTACTTCTTTTTTTTTTTTCATAAATATTGAAGAGGAAAAGATTTAAATGTATGTTTAGCTTATAAAAGGTCGCTGCTATACATATTAAGATAGATATAGGATTAATAAAAAAATTAAGATTAATGTGTGATCTAATGTTGAACTATATGACTTTTATAAGTTAATATTTATAAAAAAATTACGTAATATTTATAAAAGAAATTCATGATTAATAATATTAGTTAAAATAAAAATATTTAACAAAAATAAAATTTAAATAATTAATCATAATTTTTTATAAGCACTAAATAATTAAAAATAAAATAATTTAGAAATCAATTTACATATTAACCAAAAAAAAATTCCCAACTAAAACCCACATTAACCTAACGGAGCGTAGAGCGACGACCTCAATTCGATACTACCAATGAAGCCTTTCACCTTTTATTGTTTAGATCTATTTATTTTTTGAAAAATTTTCAATTGTTTTGCTTAGTTTTACAATAAAATATTTAATTTGCAATAAAATTTTTTTATTTTTTCATATAAAGACAACACAATTTCTTGTATAGAGAAAGATATTTATATAAGAATGTCGAATGGAACCATTTTGTACTATCAAATTAACCTTATATTATATATAAATACATGATCCTTTATATTCTATTTTTTGTTACAAAGAGAAGAAAAAGACGTGTGGGTCCTACAAATGTAGATAAGGCTCAGCAGACATGGAGACCACGTCATATCCATCGCCGACCGGAGTGATACTTCGACGTGTCGTCACCCAAAACCTCTTCTCTTACATTTTTCCACGTGGCAGTCAGATCACCAATAATGAATCAGCTTTTTTTTTTTTTGTTTTAATGGGACTTTTCGCATTAATTAACGTGCCACTGTCATTTCCTTTTATCCCACCAAATTTAAAATTGATAACACTTCATTTGGTTTGATTTTTTTAAAATAATATATAATATTATAAAAATTTTAAAATATAATTTAAATTTAAATTAATTTATTTTTAAAATTGATCCAATTTTAATTAAATTTTATTGATTTTAGTTTGATTTATTAAATTTTAAATTTTTAAAATTTTATTTTTTATATATTATTTTAATAAAATTTTTAATATATTTAAATAAATTTATATATAAAATAAATTATTTTATTTTATAAAATTTAAAAATATATAAAATTAATAAAAATATATTTTTTGATTTAATTTTTTTTATTTATTAAATTTTTATTTAAAATTTCATGTAAATTTAATATATATATATATTTAATACGTAAATTTAATTTATATAAAATAAAAAATTAATTCAAATTAAACTAAATATTATAATTTTAAATTAATTTTGTAATTTTTTTATTTTTTCCTCTATTTACACTTAAATCATTTAAATTAGTGATTGATTTGTTTTATTCGATAAAAAAATTTTGAGTTTAAATTTTATTGATAATTAATTATTAAAATTATTTTAAATATATAATTTATAATTATTTATTTAAAATTATTAAATATAATATATTTTATCTTAATATAACAAACCGATTAATCTATCTTTAAAATTTAAAAAAAAAATCGCTCAAATAAAGCATAATATTATTAGCATCAAAGTATATTCGAATGCAGACAAGACATTGTGGGCACGGGTAACACCTGATAACAGCTCTTTTTCATTTTTTTTTATGAAAATGAAAACAGTAATATGGTTCTGACAATGAGTGGATAAGAGTAAGGGTCCCCACATGCTTTATTCAATAATCAATTATTTTTTTATATAAATTTTTATATTTACAACAACAGACAAACGATCAAATCTCCAAAACGCATAAACCCTTAATATCGTGCCTTCCTTCTCGTCTTTCTTTCATATTTTTTTGCTGTATCTTTGTTTGTTTCTGCTTCGAGGAAGAAAGACTTCTTTATTCTGTTTTGTTTTTACGGTTTGGGTGGCGAAAGGCAGAAGAAGTAAATCATGTCGATTGCATCGGAAAGGATTGAAGCGTCAGGGTTTGGGTGCGTGATGGAGTGCGCTTGTGATACTTCCAGGTTTGAATCCTCGCCGATGAAGGAACGGAAAGAGGTGGTGCTGCTGCTGGTGGAGGAGGAGGAGGAAGACGATTGGAGGAGCTCATCGTCTACCACGACGTCGTCTTCGATCGGGAGGAATAGTGATGACGTGTCTGGAAGATCCTCGGACGTTAGAGATTTCGAGGAAAATGAGGTTCAAAGCGCCTATAAAGGTGGTTTAGACATGATGGATTCGCTCCAACAGTTTTTGCCTATGAGGTTCGTGTCTCCACTTGGCTTAGTTCTCCTGTCGGATTTTTTGTCCTAAAAAGTATATAATTATTTCTCAAAGGCTTTTTCTTTTCTTTTTTCTGGGTATTTAGAATATTCATTTTTAGGTAAGAATGGTTTAGATCTGTGTCAATTCAATTAGAAAAATATGTAAAAAAATTCAAATTTGTGGTTTTAAACAGGAGAGGCATCTCAAGCTTCTACAATGGCAAATCAAAGTCTTTCACAAGTTTGGCTGATGCTTCCTCAGCTTCATCGATTAGAGAAATAGCAAAACCTGAAAACGCCTATACTAGGAGAAGAAGAAACCTATTGGCAATCAACCATGTATGGGACAAAAACAGGAATAAAAGACCCATTAAACCGATTAGCTCAAGCAAAAGCACCTTGGCTCTTGCTGTTACCATGGGTAGCTCTGAAAGTATCTCTAGCACAAGTGACGACTCTACCTCAGCTTCAAGCCCTCGGCTTCCTCCATTGCACCCACAAACCAGAACATCTTTCAATAACAATAATAATAATAATAATAATACCCCATCGTCGCCGCCTTCAAGTAGCCGGAGTTTCTCTGATTGGCGGTCCTTCTCGTTGGCTGATGTACGGGGATATACTACTGTTATGGAAACCACAAATCCACATTGCTCTTTAATTAATGATAGAACTAACTATAAGAAAGGGATTTGAAAGAGATTTACGCTGGGATATGCATGTTTTATGCCTCGTTTCTTGTCCAAAGGAAGATGTTGCCTCCAGTTTTTGACAATTTGTAGTTTTTCTTTACCTGATGCAGGTGTATGATCACGCTGCTAAGTGCTAATTGCATTTTAACAATTCCTGTAAGTGACTTGTCGATAACAAACAAGTTTCATGCTTCTGTTTACTTGTTTTGATGCTGAAGAGAATCGGAGCTGATTGAAAGTAAATGGAGAGCGTCTGAAATTGATTTCAAATAGTTTCTTTTATCACATTTGTTCCATGGCAGAAAATGATGGCTTCATTTGTAGGAGAATAATGTGAAAGAATGGGCGAAACCATCTAAATCAATCATGCATCAATCGAAATAGATGACTCTAAAACAGGAAGCCTCCTTCTGAATGAAGAAAATTCATGCCTATTCCTAAGCAATGTTGTACCCACCTAGTCCTACGGCTACCCAATGTGGTCATGAGAGCAGCTGATGGACTGAATTTGACAAATTTTAGAATCTTTGCTTCTCAAATCTAATCTTTGAGTACCAACCTGTGCCCTCAAAGAGTAGTCGGACACCTTGTCAAACCTATGTATTAACGTTCACACGAGCTAGAATGTAAGTTCAAATAGCTGCCCGGCCCTTAAAATAATACAGTAGAATAACTTAATTTTGGCACCGGAGGGTCTATTGCTGGAATTGCAATATCTATATTGAAAATTTTACCACATACATTGGATGACCTTATCAATATTCAGTTGCTATCCCATTGACTACTAGGTGACCGTTGGGGAAGCCGTCCAGGGGATCTTGATTTTCCAGAAAGTACTTGGGCATTTATCCAGCAATTAGAATTTTACATGCAACTGAAACTCTGATGCTTTCTCACAAGAAACTGAACAATTTAACATTATTTAGCCAAAATAAATGAAAGATAGCCAAAAATGAGATTTGGGGCCCAGTGCTTCATCGATTTTCATCTCCAACCTGCCAAAAAAAAGTGCATGGAAAACACTAAAAAAAAGCTAAAATATTATTAAAAAATAGTACAGGATTGAATTGAGATAAAACAACAAAAAATGATGGCCTTTCAATCTCTTGAAGCTTTTGAAGATGACTGCAAGTCTGCAAGTACCATCACAACATCATTAATTCCTTTTATCAGTATCAGTAGATAGAACTGAAGCCTGACCGAAATCATAATGACCCAACCCAAGTTTGTATATTCACACCCAAGCAAGCAAAGTAGAAAATTACGAGAGAAGATCCATTTGCTAATGGGCCAAGGCCATTCATAATCCATTACATATCTCTTCTTGGTTTGGGCTATTAGCAATCAAGTAAAAGGCCCATTTAGTTTACAGTTACAGCACCCCCACCCGACTGAGGCACGTGTATTTGTCGTTGTTCACTTTTTTTTGTTTTGCCATCCGTACTGTTAAGTATTTAATTTAAAATCTGTAGATAAAAAGATCCAATTTAAATATAAAACTATAAGATATTAGATATTTATTAAATGTGAGATAATATTACATTAACATATCCCCATCACATGTAGACAAAAATAAAAAAAACTTATTACATGACAGATTTAGAAAGGGTAACAAAAAAAATTCTTAACTCTGATATCATATTAAGAATCTGACTTAAAATTAATTAACTGTAAGTGAAGAGATTTAACTCAAATATAAGGCTACAGGAATATGTTAGTGTGATGTTATTCTACGTCTAATAAATATCCAATATCCTATAATCATATATTTAAATTGAATTTCTTCAATTATTACTAATTGATTTTAAATTGAATATTTAATATGATATCAAAGTCAATATTTTTTTTGATTGCTTTTTTCAGATTTGTCACATGAAAAACTTTTTTTATCATGACATTTCCAAATTTGTTTTCTGTTACTTTTTTTCAAATTTGTCACGTAAAAAAAAAATTTTTATCATGTCATTTTCAAATTTGTCACGGGTCTATTAGTACGGTATTATCTTACATTTAATAAATATCTTACATTTAATAAATATTTAATATTTTGTAATTTTATATTTGAATTAGATCTCTTAACTTATTACTAATAAGTTTTAAATTAGATACTTAATATGATATCAAAACTAAAAAAATTTTTTATTGATTTTTTAAAATTTATTATATAATAAATTTATTTTATTTTCATCTTTATGTAATAAAATTTGTTCTTATACTTTTATATTTAAGTTTAGTCAAATCAAACTCACTTACACATAATAAAATTCATTTTTATAATTTTATATTCAAGTTGATCACTTATCGATTATCAATTTCAATTTAACCGACACCTTATGAAAGTGCAATCAACCACTTCTGTGAAGTCATTCTCATGATTCTGATCAGACATATGCATATGAAATTCGGTGAATATACTTTTATTAAAGTCTATTGTAACGAATAAAATGGATGATCAAACAAAATAAGGAGTACAAAAATCAAAGCTTGCCCTTCCTTGGCCTTGAACAAACTTAGTAAAAAAATTAAAGTTAAAAGTTGAAGACCAATAATTAAATTCGACATAAAGAAATCTTTTTGAATTAATTCATAAAAATATATTGAATAAAACTTAGAAATTCATTACTGTTAAATAAAAAAGCCATAACTGTGAGAATATAAAGGTACCAACTATATGATCCATCGATTGGCTTCCCTTGTCTAATAATAAAAAGTAGCACAATCCCAACTTCGTAGAATCTTTTAACCGGTCAGATTATTCTGTCTATCATCAGAATAGGTGAAATGCGGGAAAAACTAGGCAGACTCATTAATCAATCAGTTTCCACTTATGGGATGAGGCACAGACCCGAACAAGAAGATTTTTAAGATGGTGGCAACACAGCAAATCAATAGTGTTATCTTTCAGCATTCAAACAGATGTTCTGTTTAGGTCCAGGGAAGGGGAGCAGAACCCAGCTAAGGCTTCTCAGAGCATTATTGCTGGTCATGCATATAATTAGCTTTATGCAGACCTGCCTGCAAGCACCCTACTCCCCCTGAGCCTGAAACTGAAACTGTAACCCCACCAGGCCAGAAGCTTTGTTGCCACAGGCAAAGGTCCCACTTCAGACAATGCCAAAATTACTACCATAATTTCACGTAGTACAATATACAAGCATGAATGTGGTACTACTATTAGCATCTTTTCCATTTTTCTCTAAGCTACAATAATTGATACCAGAGTCTTTATACACATTTTCCCATCAATTTGATCTTTCATTAATCTAATGCTCATTCCTGGAATGTTGATATTACATTGATGGCTTCAAACTTCCTTTACTCAATATTTTGAGATATAACCTCTCCAAACTTTTGGAAGAGTTGGGCATCCGAGGTACTCATAGATGGGCAATTGACCAAGTGTGGAGTCTTGAGATTTGCATACTCATCCATGTAGGAAGTCGCCTTGGTAGATGGCAGAGGCGTTGGTTGGATTGAGGTTGGCTGTTTTGGTGGAGTGTCCAATGGCATTAGACTTCCTAGAACACGTGTCACTTCATGCATCGTTGGTCGATCTGATGGGTGTCTCTTGGTGCATAGAAGGGCAAGCTGAAAAACTTTCTTGACTGCTCCAAGATCCTTGCAAGTACCAGTGATCTCCGGATCAACGGTTTCCATGACTGCGTTATTGGCAGTCTTGGACAAAATCTGATACCACATGCAATACCAAATGAGTTTTTAAACTACGAGTAAACCCAAAATATAGTATCTGATCAAAATGAATATAAGGCTCAGTGTTTGCATGATAGTTCAAATTATGAAAGATGAGATTAAAACTAACCAGATGATGGAGATTGGATTCATTGTCTACAGCTTTTCTTCCAGTTAATAACTCAAGTAGAACAATCCCATAGCTGTAAACATCGGATTTCTCAGTCAGTCGGGAAGTTCGAGCATACTCAGGGTCTATATAACCAATGGTGCCCAATATGTACGTGGAAGTGTGAGACTTTGATATGCATAAGCTTTTTGCAATGCCAAAATCAGTAAGATGAGCCTCAAAGTCCTTGTCCAACAAAATGTTCGATGACTTTACGTCCCTGTGGATGATTCGGGGACTACAGTCGTAATGCAAATATGATAACCCTTGTGCTGCTCCAAGTCCTATCTTTAAACGAGTGTCCCAATCAAGCTTTTTCTTCTTGGACGAAACTGCAGTAAAAGAATACATGGAATTTATAATTCAAAAAGGGAAAAGGGTGCTTTCTTACCATGGATGATAAGAAAAATTGTTTTCCATGAGTCAAATGAGCATAGAGATAAGCTCGAGAAATACCAACATATTCTAACACCAGAATATTAGGTATGTAATATTGTAAACATGCAGGGTATTGTTTCATTCTTAGAAGAAAAACTTACCATGAAGGAGATCCCAAAGACTGCCATTTTCCATGTAGTCATAGAAGAGAAGGTTTCCAGAAGGGGAGAGAGAATATCCTTGAAGGCTGACCAGATTTCGGTGCTTAATACTCCCTACTGTCTCAAGTTCTGTCTCAAATTCCTTCAAGCACTGTGGATGGTGAGAGTAGAGTCTCTTGATGGCAACTGGCTTGCAATTCTTAAGAACACATTTGTAGACTGTGCTTGATGCACCACTGCCAATTATATACTTCTCACTCAAATTCTCAGTCATCCTCAATATGTCCTCGTATACATGAAGTGCCATATTCATGTTAAGGATCACTAACTTCGGTGTTGAGTAAGTAACTGTTGTTAACAAGTCCACAAGTTAATAACAGGGGGCATAAATTTCAATAGGAAGGCATCTCTAAAAATAAGGAACAAAAACCAATTAACCTTTCATAATTACTTTTCTTATCCAATCTATCTCCTCATTTTTCACTTCTCCAAAATTTAACCTAGTCTAGATGATTTTTTGCATTTTTTAATTCGGCAACCCAAATGGAACCTTGAAACTCAGATAATAGTTCTTTGTACATCTATATGCTTTATACTACAAGGCAAAAGGACTTGCACGGGTTTACACATAAAAAAAGAAGGCACCTGGCTTATCCAGTGATCCATCTGGTATTGGTGTAGGATTGTGCGGGCGACATGCTGCAATCAAGATCATTAGAAGAATCACAAGTGCACCAAGTGCAATTCCCAGGATTGCTGCTTTAGAGATTGCAACTGCATAAACAAGAGTGAGCAGAACGAAATGAATAATCAACCCAAGAGAACAGAAAGATCTTAACATACCCAGAAAATATTGACCCTCTAACATCATTGAATGACTATTTAAGAAATATGATATCAACATAGAAAAAATTCTTGCACTCAAGAGTAATAGTGCTGAGAATCTTATGTTTATAGATGTCGAAATGAACAGGTAGTAGCGCATTGTGTTAATCTCTATATTCAAGTCAAAATTACCTCTCTCTGTGGGATGAGGCCCATGGCATGGAGAAGAAAACCAATCGCCACAAAGCCCGGGATTTCCAATAAAACTGCAAACAAGAAGTTGTCAGTTTGTAATCAGCTTTGGTGGGAAAAAAAAAAAAAAAGGCAGCAGCTAAATTGAGCTTTTCTGTTCACAAATATTTGTTCGAAATTCAGATGCAAAATCTTACCTGTCTGGTGAAAATCTTGAAAAGTTATTGCTTGTGGGAATATCACCAGCAAGATTGTTGTAGGATACATTTCTGCAAGGTTTGAGGGAAATTTATAGGGTTATATGATGACACTGTTACTGTCCATTAATCAAGTAAAGTTAAGAGGAAAAAAAAAAGCACAAAATCTAGCAAATCATCAACCCACAAGATGGTAAGACTGATGCAGTTGATTAGTGACATCACGTTTCCGGATAAATTATTGTTTTCTAGTCTCCTGCACAAATTTTGAACCAGGGTATTATAAG